GCCAGCTGTAAATCTTCAGTTGACCCACCCCCTATTAAATAAAAAAAAGTGGGTGACACCCCCAACATTATTAGTATTTTAAAACATGCTGACCCCCCCCCCCCAAAAAAAAACAAAACAAACAAAAAACAAACAAACAAAAACAAAGAAACATTAACAGTTTTGGCTCTGACATGATTACAAAATGTATTATATGTGCATTGAAAATATCATGGTTTGCCATAATTTTGACAAAATTTTTAGTGTTTGCATTTAATAGACCTTAGGAGGGGAGGGGAAGCATAAAGCCAAAAAATTACTACAGAAAAGGCTGCAGGAAGGAGGGAAATCTATGCTGCTAAATAGTAATAAATATAGTAAATAAAAGCAAAGCTGTGGAGTACTCACTCGATAAATGCCCTTATAAGATAGGAAAAGAGGATTTGAATCTAGGCAGTTTGAACTCTTTGAAAACTAAGCTGGATTTAAAATATCTTTCATATCTTATAGGCCGGGAAAGCTTTACACCCGAAGCACAGTCTGTGCTTATGAAAACAAAGGAAACTTTGATTTTTGCTTAAATTTCTGTTGGATTTTGGTATTTTACAGAGCAAAATATGCATATTTAAAAGTTAAAAAAACAAAAAAACTATTTATTTATTTTTTCATCATTTATTTTAATTTATATATCAGCATTTTCACAAATTTAACTTTTTTAATTTGCTGAACAAAAACTGTCACTGCTCTTTGTACCAATTGCTGTGTTGTCTTTCCGTCTCCTGTTATAATTGAATAAATCCAGTGAATATCTTATACAATGGTGACTTCAGACTTTAAATAAAATAATCTGATATCAGCAGCACATGGACTTGGGATGCGTTTAAAACTTAACTGTATAATTGGGGTTCTAGCCACATTGCATAATCTGTTACCGGTAGTTATTTGACAACTTTAACCTCAAAATATTTAGCTTTAGCCCTATAACATTTTTGCATCAACAAATTTATAGGCAATACATAGGGGTAATAGTTATTATTAAGAACATTTATACGATTAACTTTTTTATCTTTTGTTCTGAAATAATTTTTTTTTTAAATATATGCATGAGCGCGTGTGTGAATTCTGGAAAACATGGTGACCCCCCTATTCATGATATCAAAAACAGGGTGACCTCCCTATTCGCACAATCAAAAACAGGGTAACCTCCCCTACTGATCCACCGACACCCCCCCCCCCAGGCCGAAGTAACTGACCAATCCATTAATAATTGAGCGTTATGAAATGACTTCCACAGCCAAGCATCTTTTTTGGATTTGAATGAAGCTTGACGATCTTCTGAAATAAATGTCTTATAAATATTTTATAAATTTCCATATAAATTATTCATACTTTCATGAAATTCACAGTAACAGCTTTGAAATATTATATGTAAATTTGTTATCAACTTACTATATTACCATTAGCCTCCATACAGAATCTAATTCTGGTGTTTTGTCATGTGATATTAAAGAATGATTAAGTGTTCTTTATGTAAATAAATTTAAACAATCTGTAATGATTTCACTCTTCCACTTATAATATGCAAGTCAGGCACAATTAGTATTATTGTGTGATTTCATGCATGTGTTTTAATGCCAATATGCATCATTGTCATGTCATTGTTTCCTTCGTCTCTGCTTTCGTGATTTGCTTTCAAAAGAAATCGCTGTGAGACAGATATTGAAAGGCAAGTACAAGTAGTAGTCTTATAGTAATAGATCTGATTTGATTTAGAATTAGAATGTAGTGACAGCACAAGATGTGTTTCCCCTGTGCCAATATACACCACCATTCAGTGTAAACTCACATAGCCTGACACTTAATGTTGGGTTTAGTATTGTAATGCTGTCAACCACTTTATTTTCGCAATTGATAATTTTCATGAATTCAGTGAAAATCAATGATTGACATGAAGGCAATAAACTGAATATTTCACTGTTGTGAGGCAAGAAGTCATTAAACTGAACATTTCACTGTTGTTGTGAAACAATAAACTGAACATTTCACTGTTGCTGTAAAACAATAAACTTAACATTTCACTGTTGTTGTGAGACAATAAACTGAACATTTCACTGTTGTTGTGAAACATTAAACTGAACATTTCACTGTTGTTGTGAAACAATAAACTGAACATTTCACTGTTGTTGTGAGACAATAAACTGAACATTTCACTGTTGTGAGACAGGAAGTCAATAAAGTGAACATTTCACTATTGTGAGATAGAAAGTCATTAAAATGAACATTTCACTGTTGTGAGATAGGAAGTCAATAAAGTGAACATTTCACTGTTGTGAGACAGGAAGTCAATAAAGCGAACATTTCACTGTTGTGAGACAGGAAGTCAATAAAATGAACATTTCACTGTTGTTGTGAAACAATAAAGTGAATATTTCACTGTTGTTGTGAAACAATAAACTGAACATTTCACTTGTTGTGAGACAATAAACTGAACATTTCACTGTTGTGAGACAGGAAGTCAATAAAGTGAACATTTCACTATTGTGAGATAGAAAGTCAATAAAGTGAACATTTCACTATTGTGAGATAGAAAGTCAATAAACTGAACATTTCACTGTTGTGAGACAGGAAGTCAATAAAGCGAACATTTCACTGTTGTGAGACAGGAAGTCAATAAAGTGAACATTTCACTGTTGTGAGATAAAAAG